ATATTGAAAGTGCCATGGACTGCCAAAAGAACCAATAGATCTGTGTTGGAAGAAGTGCAGCCAGAGTGCTCCTTGGAGGCCAGGATGGCCAAACTTCGTTTCTCATAGTTGAACATATTATCAGGAGGGACCAGTTGCTGGAGAAGGATATCATGTTTGGTAAGGTGGAGGGTCAGAGAAATAGAGGGAATCCCCCAGCGAGATGGATTGGCCAAGTGGCAGCATCGATGGGCTCAAGTGTAGCAACGATAGTGAGGTTGGCCCAGGATCAGGCAGTGTTTCCATGTGCTATGCATAAGGTCGCTATGAGTCGGTACCTACTCGATGGCACCTAACAACAACAACAACATCAGCTGGTGTGGCCCTGTAGGATCAACACTGCAAACCACAAGGTCGGTCGGCTGTTCAGACCCATCAGTTGCTCCTTGGAAACCCTGCACAGGATCATTACGAGCTGTAACCGACTTAATGGCATGGACCAGCAACAGCAGCGCAGTCTTGTCTGAATACATTTGTTGTTACGTGTCGAGGCAGTTCCGACTCAACGACCCTGTGTAGGGTTTCCAAAGAGCAGCTGATGAGTTTGAACCTCCGACCACGTGGTTCACACCGACCTTGAGGTCCAGTGCTTAATCCCACAGCACCACTCCAGGACCTACTGAGAGAATACAACTTGAGTTACTAATGTTGTGTTAGTTACACGTGCAAGGCTCTTTCAGGCAGGAGGGAGACAGGCATTGATGGTGTCTGAAATTAGAAGGTCCCTGCTCTCTTCCTTTTGTGTTGTTGTGTCACCTGTTAATGCGGTTTCCTTTGTGGTGACAGGTGAGAAGTCTCAGTGTGGTCACTGCTCTTTCCTCCCTCTCAGTGTTTCTGTCTGTGAAAGAGGATAAGCAGTCCACCAAGGCCCTCCTCTAACCATCGCCCAGCCCTGTCTCTCAGAGTCTGTTTTAGTCAAAGACACACACTTACTTGGTTAGTTTTGTGTGAAAAGAATTTTCAGAACAAACATGAACAAATCAAGAGAGAACACAGGGCTTAGGGGTTTCTCCCCATGAGCCGATTTGAAACCTCATCCTCACAAATGGGTGACAAGTATCAATACAACCCAAGTTCTTCTCTGGCCAGTCTGAAAGTGATGTAACTTGTGTTCTTTGGAGAAAAACTGTGGTGTTTTGATTGATGTAAGGACATTTCTCCTGAAATCCTTCTCACTGGGTGGCTGTGTTTTGACTCTGGTTTTTTCTCAGGTGAAAGGCCCTTTAAATGCAGTGAATGTGGGAAAGCTTTTAACCAGAAGGGGGCACTGCAGACACACATGATTAAGCATACTGGTGAAAAGCCCCATGCCTGTGCCTTCTGCCCTGCCGCCTTTTCTCAGAAAGGAAACCTTCAGTCACATGTACAGAGAGTCCACTCGGAGGTAAGCAGTCTTTCTGACACAGGTGTGCAGTGATGGGGGCCAGAAAACCGGCTCACTTTTGACTCAAGTGTTACTGCATTCTGCTCTCGTTGTGACCCTGGAGGAAGTAGAAACGTCTGTGAGGGGGGCTTCAAAAAGCTCATGAAAAAGAGAATGAGAGATATGGAAAATTTCCATAAATTTCTGAAGCCCTCTCTACTTTCCTTTCACTGGGAGTGGACAGTACAGTCTTCTCCAAAGCTAGCAGAAATGACAAGCAGAAGTTGTTTCGATTTTAGATGAGATTTAGTTTTTATTCTAAAATGGAAAAGGGGGAGATTTAAAAAGGGAACAACAAATGCTCCCCAGCTCACAGTTTATAAACAGACATAAGTACATCAGGAATGCGTCCCTTATAAAATTCACTTTTCTGTTAGGAAGCGTGGGTGAGAGGCAGGGCATGGTGACTGAGGAACCTGGCCTTTTTCTGACATGGAATTGAAACTGTCCCAGTCATCATGGTGGACAGAGGGCTCCTCTCTCCGTGGCCCTGGAGGTGTCTCCTGGGATTCCAAGCACAGCCCCAGGGGACCAGCAGGCTCTGGTGTAGGAAGCTGGTTTTGGTGTGTCAGAGATCTGTCTGCCACACAGCCCCTGGGAAATTGGTGGGTTGGACCGAGGGCCACAGGAAAGATTGGTAGGTGCTACTTTCTGAATATTATCCTGGCAGTGAGGACTCTACAGCCTCGTGTGTTCTAACAGAGTGCTCAAAATTCGCTGGACGTGTGACTGAAGCTCAGAGTCATCAGCCTTCCCGTCAGCCTTCCCGGGCATGATTAGTCCTACCGATGCTCTTCTGTACCTGAGCTGCTCTCTGTGGCACGCTGCTGCCTTTTTGGTTATGAGAGACTTAGCAGACTGTGTGGTATTCCTAACCTGTGTATCTTAGCCCCCAGAAGCTTCTCTGGCATACTCTTGAAGGCTGCCACTCATTACTGCGAACTCTGCTGCTTATGTGCAGAAATTGAGTATGTAGACTGAAATCACCGACAAATAGGCCTCTTCATTCCGGAACCTGCTGTAATGATACTGGCAGTGTGGAGGACAGAGCTGGGCCCTTGGTTCTGGACCTGTGTGATTTAAAGAAAAAGTCACCTTGGGAAGTGAATGGTTAGGTCGTATCACTGGCGTTGCAATGTCACGATGTGTAATTATTTTCTCTTCTTCCTTAAGGTCAAGAATGGCCCGACCTACAACTGCACAGAATGTAGTTGTGTATTTAAGAGTCTAGGCAGCTTAAATACACATATCAGCAAGATGCACATGGGGGGGCCCCAGAATCCAGCAGGTGCCATAGAAGCTGTACAGGTCCTAACGGTAAGTCCAGAGTTGCGTTTGTTAGGAGGGTTCTGTTTGATGAAAATCTGTTACCATTGGGTACTGCAAAGGGGCAGGAATGCTTTCTATACGAAGGAAAGGTGTTAACTTTTGTTTGTTTTTTTAATTAGTGAAAGGAAATGAACTTCTAAATTGTAGTGCTGCATTGGGGAACTCTGATTTGTCACCTGAACCAGTAACTATTCATCTGTGAGATTGTCACCCAGACAGTCAGTTCTCCTGAGGACTCTTTTTATCCTTAAGTTATAATTTAAGATTTAATCGTTATTTTTAGATAATATCTAATCCTGTCTAATGTGACAGTGATAATTTTTCCTGAGTCTTTGGAACTTTTTGGGAAGCTAAAGTATATGTGTATTTTAAGCTGTGTGACTCTAAAAATTACACGTTGTTTTCCTTTTCACGTAGGATTCTATAGCTCAGTCTCAAACTGTTGCTTCTTCTGCGCTCTTAAGTTGATGATAATAAATGGAAAAATATAAATAGAGAAAATTGTGTCTTAAGGGCAGAGGTTTTAACACGTGCTTATGGGCGTAATTAACTGGTAGTTTGGGGCTGAGTCAGCTGGTGGTTATTTGCGTGTAGTTGGTTCCACTCAACTTGGGGTTTCCAAGGCTATAAATCTTTATGGGATCAGAAAACCTCATCTTTTACCTGTGGAATAGCTGGTAGTTTTGAACTGCTGACCTTGAGGTTAGCAGTCCGATTCGTAACCACTATGCTACCAGAACTCCTTCCTTCTACTATAGAAAACAGGCCTAGTGAATACTTAGTCCCTAAACAGTATGTCCAGCTCTGTTTATTTTTGTATTGGTTCTATTCTCACAAGATTTGCAGTGTGGGGTGGTTGCTCAATTCACTCTTGGTCTCAGAGAATGTTGTGAATTACAAAGCTCAGACATAATTAGAGTCTGTCAATTGGTAACCGGAAAATAACCACACATGAAAAAAGGTCACATGACAATTGTGCTCAGAAAACAGCCCCATGTCATCCCTGTGCACAAGAAAATTGCCCACAGGGAGAATTGCTTACACTGTAAAATGGAGATACGGACAATTGCCCACCCAGAACAATCCTACATGTAAGATTGCTCACACCAAAGATTGCCCACCCAGAAAAAAACACATACATAGTAATTTTCACACAAAGGTGAAGCTGTATGTACCATCCTGTCAAGAACCATGTTGTTGGGGTTGTTAAGTACCTTCCAGTCAGTTCTGACTCATAGCGACCCTGTATAGGACTTCTGAGGAGCGGCTGGTGAGCTTGAACCGCTGACCTTGTGGTTCAAACTGCCCTTGTGGTCCAGCACCACCCCAGGACTCATCTTATCTACAGAGGTTCAAAACCATTGTGTTATTTTTCTAGAAGGAAAAGATGCAGTATTTTTAAAAAAGTGATATTTAAACCTAAATTCAAATATTTAAAAAATGAGATACTTTTCGTTTATTAAATTTACATTTTGTCAGCATTTTTAATGTTGGTGTTAAGTAACTTTTCCTTCCAACCTGAGGCCTCATCTTCTAGCGCTGTCAGATAATGTTCCATTGCTCGTCATGATGTTTTCAGTGGCTAGTTTTTCAGAAGTGGTCAGCTTCTTTCTTTTTCCTAATCTGTCTTAGTCTGGAAGCTTCACTGAAACCTACCCACCCTGGTTGACCTACTGGTGTTTAAAATACCAGTGTCATAGCTTCCAGCTTCACAGCAACACACAAGCCAACGCAGTGCGACAAACTGACACATGAGTGGTGGACATTGTTTGCACTTTGTGAACAAATTAGGAAAGTTGTGCGACAGGGTTGTATTCTTTCACCATACTTACTCAACCTGTATGCTGAGCAAATAATCCAAGAAACTAGGTTGATGAAAATACAAA